ATAAGGAAAAGTATTTAACCTATGAAGTCACACGTTAAACGTCTTTTTTTTTAAATGTTAATGACAAACATTCTACCACTCTTCATCTGTTAGGGTTAAGAGCCACACTTAGAATCTGTAGTCACTAGCAGTTTTATAAAAACAAGCATAATATATTGATAAGAAATTAGCTTAAGAACTATAGAGTGGCGACATAAGGCTTAGAGAACTTTCAACAAAAATCAGAATAGAGAGATTGAATAATTTTAAGAAAAACATGTGTAACACATAGGTTAACGAAAAACTTAAAATTATATGTACATATTCATAATTTTTTTAATTTTTGAAAACATAAACGCAGTTACAGTTGTTGCTTTTACCTCAATAGTAATAAAGTAATATAAAAACAGCCTACAATAGCCTTTTGTTATCACTAGATTGATAACTAGCTTTACTGATGATATACCTACGATAGCTTCTCTTTCTGTCCTTATTAGGTTTAATGATGACATACCTACGACAGCTCTCCTTTCTGTCATTACTAGGTTTATTGATGATATATCTACGATATCTTTCCATTCCGTTAATACTAGGTTTATTATGACATACCTACGACAGCTCTCCTTTCTGTCATTACTTGTTTTGCTAAAAATTTATACTTACTTCGGCTTTCTTCTCTGTCGTCACAAGATTTCTGTCGTTAACTACATTGTATCGGAGGCTGTCAGGCATGTCCCTGAAGTGAAGTACGTTTTGACCTCCTCCAGATGATAAGATAAAGAGGAGGACAACGAAATCAAGCCAGCGAAAAATGTTTTTCTCCATGGTGATTTCTATAGATTCTCCTCTCAATTATCGGTGGACGACGAATATATCTCACAAATCTAGCCTGAAAGAGAAATAAAATTCATACCAATTAGTCTTGTTTTATTCGTAGTTAAGCCCAAATATCCACAATGGGCTAATTGCGCTGTGCCCACGTAGGGATCGAATCCTTACTTTTTGTTCTATAAGCCTTCAATCTTACCGCTGAGCTTGAGATCATGCGAATAAGCAGCGGGACATATTTGAATTTGGGGAGCACCTTTTTTTTCTTACTATGTTAACCGTGAACATTGAATTCAAAGTTGAAACAGCGACTTTCCATAATAGTTATAGACGAGTCTCTATTTCCCATTCAAAGGGATACTTCGCTACCAGTTCAAAATCGAGGGAGGCCTTGCCCCCAGTGACTTCACCCGGTTCTGCCGTCTATGATTATGTGCGTCCCAACTTTTATTGGAACTGTTGTGGTAAAAAATAATTAAAATTGTGAACAAAATTAACACCAGAAATATTTTATTTCTACAACGTTTCGGATCAAGGCACACGTTTTACCATTATCTTACTCTTGGATCTTTGTATGGAGTAGGGGATCATTTGTACTACTACTAAAAAAAACAACAACAACAAAAACCAGAGGCTTTAACTCTATTACAACTAGAGGGGCAGCCAGTGTAGCGCGTACCTCCGCCATGTAGCTTTGATCAGATTCGGCTCTCAAAAAATATGAAAATATGTCCGTATGTCCGTCGTTTTCAACGGATACGGATAATTTTTTTTGCAGAACAATGAGAAATAATATTCTACATATGTCCACCAAGTTTCATCAAAATCAAATGATTTTTTAATGAGTTATAGAGTAAAAAATAGTGTGAAAAATCAGTCCTCATGTTAACAAATAGGAATGTTTTCATTTTTTGTGACTATCAGAATCTAAAATATAATTCTTTCGCCATTTGTCAGAATAAAAGGCTTTTACTTATATTTCTTAATAGTATAAACATATACTGTATTGCTGTTCGGCCTAGCATTCTTCTACAGTAGGTATCTGTTACTTGTTAGCGATAAATTCAACGATAAATAAACAGTAAGCACTTCACTTGTTTTCAAAATATTATATATATTCAGAACAAGAGAAACGTATATACAATATATATAGTTAGTTCTTTTCTTCTTGTCAAAAGTCCATTTAGGCCTATTCAATTACTTTAGAATTTCAGTTGACAAGCCGAACTATCTTCTCTATTACTATCGCTCTCGTATTTCGAGTGTGATTCATTTACAATTGTGGCGCGATCTACCGCAGTCGTAATAGTTTGGTCTTCTTTCCTTTGAAGATCCTCTGTTCCTTTTGTCAAACTGCACTCAAGCTGATTAAATTACTTTAGAACCACGCTTTGATGGAATAAATTCTTCTTCTTCTTATCTCCTTTCCCACTGTTAGTCTTAATCTAACATATTAAACGTTAGCCCTATGTTAATCGTTAGGCCTATCACTTCTACGGCAGTTAACTTTACGCGGAACTTTTCTTTAACCGTAACTTTACTCTCTTCTGCTATTATCTGTCTGCTGTTTCCGCTTGTCTCACACTATTTATATCTCTATCATTTAATTGTTTGCTCGTCTTCTAGAAATCTCTATATTCTCGACGTTCGATAGTCTCAACATCAATGAATTATAAACACAACTTCCCACAATTGTCTGCTTTTAACTATCATTATAACAAAAACTAAACAATAATAAAATATCCACTCAAAATAAATTAATCAATAACATCTAAACTAAACAGTATTTTATATCATGACAGTGACCTTGACCTTTCACCCTCCAAAATCTAATCACTTTCATGTTGGGTCATGGTCCAAATGTATACCAACTTTCGTCTAAATCAATTCAGTCGTTTTTGAGAAATCCTTCTGACAAACACACACATAGAAGTGAAAACATAATATCCGTTTACCTTCAGTGGCGGAGGTGATAATACTCAGTTTTTATCTGTCCTGAAAATGCGCATGCGCATGCACTTGATTTCTACCGATGTAAACAAAAGGCAAATGTAAATATACTTTAATAGACATTTTGTACAACAACATAGTAAAAGCTTATCAAAGTTTTTTAAAAGGTCTACCGCTAGGTCGTAGAATAACATTATAATTTTATGTATTGATAGTATTAAGCACCGTTTAGCCCTAACTAAACTAAAGCGAAAAACTTTTATACAAGTTACAGTGTTATCTGTTTATCGAGCTCCCCAGTGGCACAGCGGTATGTCTGCGGACTTACAACGCTAGAATCCGGGTTTCGATACCCGTGGTGAGCAGACCACAGATAGCCCATTGTGTAGCTTTGTTCTTAATTACAAACAAACAAACTCTTTATCGAATGTAAACCGTACTTAATAAAGGCTTAACTAATAGTAAGCATAATACAAGTGAACTAAAAAATTTTGATGCCTGCAATTAAAATTATTTTGTATTATCCTAGAACTCCTATTATTTAAAAAAGTACTGTTGCAATAAAGATACCAATCTGACTGTAGATGTTTTGCAGGTCACTGCTATAATGACTCAAACGGGAACGTGGTTTGGTTTAGACCTCTGTACGCGTATGAAAATATATCTTGAGGTTCCTCGGAGTTTCACAGCTGTTATAAAAGCTGGTAATACGTGTGAATAAAATTAGTATCTTGACACTTTGAGCTGCAACTGACAATCATCTTATCTTTCTTCGAACGACCTCTATAATAATCCTTGGTCACGATCCACAGATAAAGAATTTCGGTGTTCTGAATGAATATACATAGAACGCTTACAAACCGGTGGCGTTCGATCTAAGTTTGTTTGTTTCCAATATTTGCACAAAACTATACGACGGCTATCTGCGGTAGCCGAGCCTAATTTTGTACTGGTTGATTAAACGAAATGCAGCTAGTTAACAGGATTCGCCACCAGGTGTTGGGAACTTTGTCGGATCAAATAGTGGGATTTGACTTTTATTCTTATAAGGCATCTACGGCTCCAAAGTGTGAATTTTCGGCAACGAGACGTGAACCATAGAGCCTTGGCTTCACAGTTCGTCATATTGACCACTAAAACAAACAAACTGACCAAACAACCGCTTCATAAGATACTACACCGTAATGTGTAAATACTATCCTAATTCATAACATACTACACCGTAGTATGTTATGAATTAGGACAGTGTTTACACATTACTTACGTAATGTGTAAATACTGTCCTAATTCATAACATACTACACCGTAATGTGTAAACACTGTCCTAATTCATAACATACTACACCGTAATATGTAAACACTGTCCTAATTCATAACATACTACACCGTAATGTGTAAACACTGTCCTAATTCATAACATACTACACCGTAATATGTAAACACTGTCCTAATTCATAACATACTACACCGTAATGTGTAAATACTATCCTAATTCATAACATACTACACCGTAATGTGTAAACACTGTCCTAATTCATAACATGCTACACCGTAATGTGTAAACACTGTCCTAATTCATAACATACTACACCGTAATGTGTAAATACTATCCTAATTCATAACATACTACACCGAAATGTGTAAACACTGTCCTAATTCATAACATGCTACACCGTAATGTGTAAACACTGTCCTAATTCATAACATACTACACCGTAATGTGTAAATACTATCCTAATTCATAACATACTACACCGTAATGTGTAAACACTGTCCTAATTCATAACATGCTACACCGTAATGTGTAAACACTGTCCTAATTCATAACATACTACACCGTAATGTGTAA